TCTCTCTCTCTCTCTCTCTCTCTCTCTCTCTCTGTGTCTCTCTCTCTCTCTCTGTCTCTCTCTTTCTTTAGAGACAGGGTCTCACTTTGTTGCCAGGCTGAAGTGCAGTGGCATGATCATAGCTCAGAGCAGCCTCGAATTCCTGGGCTCAAGAGATCCTCCCCCCTCCCAAAGGTCTGGGATTATAGGCATTAGCCACCACACCAAGCCATTTTTTTTTCTTATTGTACTAAATAATATCTCCCCATTTTCTTATAAAGAGTAATCTAGAACACTAAATAAAATAAATGGTTAGAGTTCAGTTGCCTCTTATATACAAGAAGATGACATTTTTAAGCATATTATCCAAATATCTTACAAGATAGAAATGCAGGAAGTACAGCAGAGATTACCAGAGTTCTATAACGGTCACGGAAATTTATCACCAAATTTTTTCCATGCATTCATATTCCTCTAGTAGCTTGACAAATTTTTTCAGGTTTAAGTGTACCCTACTTTCAGGCACCCATTGCTAATTTTATTAGTCAATGCATGACACACAAATTATTTAGTTTATTAACAAACTTTATTTATTAACAAAATAAATCTACATGAAGCATCTTGGTCTTGTTAAGGAAAGCCCTCTGTTAGCATAGCACCTACCCTAGAAATCCCCTTTAAGTTTGAATGTCTCTAGTTATGACTATGACAGATAGGTTTTCAAAACAGCCCTTACAGAATAATTGAAATTTAAACTAGTCATCTGAAAGCTGAGAACGTAGTATTAAGTTTAGATAGCAGCAATACGTAAATCATTGCTTTAAATTCTCACTGTGAAAGAATTTTTTTATTGAGCCTTCATTTGACAGTCTAGGTGCACCCCCTACCGAACCAGAGAGAAAAATCTTGATTCTCCTTAAATTCACAGGGCTCTTGAACTGCATAACATCCAGCACTTCACGCATCTCTCTAGCTCATCTGAAAAGCTGACTGTAAACCGTGTATTTGGTTTGACTCAAAAAAAAAAAAAAAATGTGCGTATGAATGGTGCCTTGCACATTAAAGAGGCTATATTGTGAAAGATCGCCCAGAAAATCTCTAAATGATACTAGCAGTACAAAAGTGACAGCCACCGCTTCTTAACATTAACAAATGAGCTGTATGTTGATATTTTTATTCTGTCTCCTAACTTGAATGGTATGTGATTCTGTATCACAGACAGCCAATTATTCTTTCAGACAGTGATCACAATCGACCCTAGAAGTTTAAAGTCTCAAAAGTTATAGTAAATTACCAACAGGCAAAAGTCATTTCAATTAATTAGATGGAGACCACGGAGTTTAAGAGTAAGAAAAGTTCCTTCACCTTCCCAGCCTCACTCACACTCCTGATCCTCGGCTCCGCTCTTCGGAAATATCCCCTTACTTTGCGGATGCCAGGATGCTGGTCCGAACAGGGCCGGCCCAGGGCATCCCTCCACCACAGCAGACCTTTGAAGCTCCGCTAAATGCCTGCCAGCACCTGCCGGGTGCGCCTAGCTGCGTGCCGGGCGTGTGTGGACGAGTGAACGTGAACGAGCTCTGGCGCGCACCTGGCCACCGCTCGCTAAAGCCGACTCCGCCCGAGGATCCGCAAGCAGGTGTCGCGGGGCACTGGCTCTTACCTGGGCTCTGGTCAGGAGGCAGCTGCTGAGCATCAGCCAACCGCAGACATGGAGCGACGCCCCCAGCCCGGCCATGCCCGGAACTGCTGTAGCGAGAAGCAGGGACCCTCCTCCAGAGCCCGGGAGAAGCTTCCAAGTAGCCAACTTGGCTGGCGCGGGGCAAACTTGTGGCCAGGAACGACGCGCAGCTGGCGTGCTTGGGGTCTTGTCGCCGGAGCGCCCGGGTCCTGCTGCGCCGCGGCTCGAGGTTGGTCCTGTCTTCCGGGGAGACTGGCCCGAGTCCCGGACTTGACTCGCAGCCCCGCGCAGCCTGCGGCTGGAAGGGGGCGGCTCCCGCGCCAGGCGGATCCGGGTGCGCCCCGCGCGGCTGCGCTCGCGTTTCTTCTCGGAGTCGCTGAGTCCCGCAGCCCAAGGGGAGGGGGGCCAAGGATCCCACTGCGCTGCTGCCGCCACCCCCAACTCGCATTGCTTCCGCTTCCCTCCACTCCGTCCCGGGTTCCAGGGCCCTCTCTCTAGGGACGCCCTGGGTCTTCGCGGAATGGTCCAGAAGTTCCCTCCTGTCCTGCGTGCGCTGACCGTCGGCCCCTGGGAGAGCGACAGTGTGGCTAAAGGCTCCCAAGGCCAGGCGGGCCGTGCGTCTGGGCTGTATGCTGGACAGTCGTAAAGCCCTCTAAATGCTGATTCATTTTCTCCTAATCATTATAATAATACTTATATATATTATATGTATATTTTATATATGTATATTTTACATATATATATTTCTTTTTTTTTTTTTTTTTTTGAGATGAAATCTGTCTCTCACCCAGGCTGGAGTGCAGTGGCACGATCTTCGCTCACTGCAGCCTCCACCTCATGGGTTCAAGCAATTCTCTTACCTCAGCCTCCCCGTGTAGCTGAGACTACAGGCACAGCGCCACCACCCCCAGCTAATTTTATTTTACAGCTAGTGCTGGACTTAGGACCACAATTGGTTCCGACAGACCGGTCGTAACACGATTTGGTCGTAAGTTGAGTAGGCTATATGTACAGTACTGTGAAATGATGTTATAAAAATCTTTAAGTCACATTTTATCATAATTTTCTTTCATTATTGTTACATATCATAATTTTTTTTGTTCATTTTATGCCATTTGTATCATCTCTACAGCATTTTGTTTCCTATTTTTACATTCGTCAGGTTTAAGTAAAACACTGCATTACAACTGGTTTAATATTTGCAAAACATACAAAATTACAAAATACAGGTGCATACAAAAATACAAAATACAGGTGTAAAAAATACCATAGGAAACATTTTCCCAATTGCAAAACATATCAAAATATATAAACATGTACGAAACATTTTATTGGCCGCTGGTTCTTGGCTGCGGATCGTTGATGTTGTCATTTGAGGCAGCAGTTGGGGTTACCAGAGTTGGTTTTTTCATAAATATGGTGAGCTTTGTCTGAATTGTATGTTTCTTTTTTCTTCATAAATTTCACGATATGGACGAAACACATCATGCGCCATCCATTCAATCCTTGCAAATCGTTCGATGTTTGGGTCCATTGCTTCAAAATGTATAAGAAGTTTATTCAGTAAAGATAAACCGTCTGATAATCCCTTAGTGGTAAACTGTCCTTCTGGCTCCTCCTCTTCTTTCTCTGCTTCTCTTCTTTCTTCTTCCGCCACTCTTTCTTCTTCCAGTTCGATTAGCTCTTCATTTGTAAGTTCTCCAGATTCTTTGTCTAGCAACTCTTCGACATCTTCCATTTCACACTCCAAAGAAAGGTCTTTAGCAAGTTTTACTGTTTTTTCCCTGAATCGTTTCAAGTTCATGTTCACTGTCAAATCCGTCAAAATCATTAACATAGCGCTTAACACAATTTTTCCAGATGCCATTCATGCACCCTGTCGTCACAGCCTCCCAGGCGGTAGCGATATTCTTGATACACATCAAAATGTTGTAGCGTTTCCAAAAATCTACAGCAGAGCAGTCGTGGCTAGCGATTGTGGTCGTAAAGTCGAATGGTCGTAAGTTGCATAGGTCGTAAGTCAATCAATACCTGTATTTTATTTTATTTTTTGTATTTTTAGTAGAGACTAGGTTTCACCATTCACCATGTTGGCCAGTCTGATCTCGAACTCTTGACCTAAGGCGATCTGCCCACCTCAGCCTCCCAAAGTGTTGGGATTATAGGCATAAGCCACCATGCCCTGCCTAATATTCTTTAACACTGCGTGTGTAGGTGTGTAAACACCTTCATTTGGGACAAAGCCTGTTCCTATATTTTCCTTAAAAGCATAATTATCAAGATGCCTGGGACTGCTTTATACATTGAGTCTCCCAGGATCTGATACTGTTGGGAAGAGGCCATTTCCATAGATGAAGCACAATAATTCACAATGATCTGAGATTCCTCACAGATTGGCTTCATTTGCTGCCAAAATGAAAACTGGGTTTGCTTATAAAACATATAGATTACTGATTGCCAGTCAGCTCTAAAACATTTAAAGGAGTGACATTTTTATTTCTACATGTCTGAAAATGTTCACTCCTATCTCTATTTTAAGTGTTATTTATATTGTGTATATGTATTGTAAATACTCTCTTATGCTTTTTTGACAAAGTTTACAGTTTTTGTTTTGAGCTTTTGTTTTTTTCTGTTCTTTTTGGGAGGGAGGGTTGAAACTCTTTTTCAAAATAGAACCCTGTATAGTCACTATTATCTAAAATCTTCAATTTGATTACTTAAGAATCCAGTACACGTTACATTACTCTGTTCAAGCAAGAAAATAATGGTAATGGTAATAATACTGCTATATAACATTTTTAAGTGCTACTACATTCAGTTACTATTCTAAGTATTTCCATGAAATTAACTAATCTTTAACTCTGTGAGATAAGTATTATTGTTATCCATATTAATAGATAAGGAAATAGACACTCCGTATTTGTCCAAGGTCCAGATATTCCATCACTATGGCACTGCTAGTCATCTATTCTATTTATGCAATAATATTACTACAAATTTTTATCAGTTCCTTAGGACTCAAAACCAGGAACACTTTTCTACGCAGTCGTTTTTTTTGTTTGTTTGTTTTTTTTGTTTTTTTCATTTCATTGTTCTATCTCCCAAAAATTAAGAATAATTCACTGTGCATAACAGCATGGGTTCTGGGCCAAGAAAAATTTCATGCTCCACTTTAGAAGTCTGGCAATGTCTGAGAACATTTTTGGTTGTGTCACAGTTTTGATATGTCACACATGCTATTGGCATGTGGTGGGAATGGGCTATGGATGCTGCTAAACATCCCACAATTCATAGGACAGCCCCTAAATCAGAGAAATATCTGGCCCAAAATGTCAGTAGTACCACCGTTGAGAAACCCTGCACTACAGCAAAAAGGGTACCCAAGACTACTGCTATTTAAGACTACGGATATACACTCAATCAAATAAGATAAAACCAATTTTTATTAAACATATGCTATTCAAGTGGTTCATTCATACAAACAGGTACAAATCCACAGGCTGCAGGCTGAAAGAATTGAAAACCTTGAGAATATTAGACTGTAATAAATGAAAAATGTTAGGAAAAGTGAAAAAATACAAAAATTGCTGTGATATCAAGATATTTGTGTCTCAGGCCATAAAATATATAATTGCTTATATCACGGGTAAATTAGGAATAATTAATTAACATTATTTTTACAAGCTAATAACTTTAAAACAAACCTTTATGCAAAGTCAATGAAATGACTTACCTGCCAAATTGCTGCAAATGACACCTGGTCTATCCTTAAATCAATGAAAGGCAGGTGACAGGTCTTACCATCTCCAATTACAAATGAAAAATGGAATTTTGATGATAAAGAGACTCAATCCTGAGCCAATCACAGTCCCAATGACATTTTCTGGTTATTTCTGGCAATGTTTGGCTTTGGTTTTTTGATGGTGTTTATTTATTTGTCTGTTTGTTTTTATCTTTTGCAGGACCACCATGTCACATGATGATCAAGGTATCAGAATCAACTGTGCTTGTTAAAATGCATATTCCTAGACGCAGATCATTACTGAATCTCTAATGATTATCCTTGAACATGTATTTTATGTAAATAATTGAATATTGTCTCAAAATAAATTTTTAATGAAATGTTTGTTTAAAATAAATGCTCAAATTTAAGTTAATTGTTAATATTTATAAATTGAACACACGGTCTTGGTGAAGTGTTTCCCTACTCTCTTGTCTTGGTTGGTATTATTTTTCAGAGTCGACAGTTTAGCAAAGATGGACATATATTATTGTTTTAATTTTTAGTTTATTCATAAGTTTGACTATTTTAGACATTCGTTGGTCAATTGTATTACATCCTTTTAAAATCTCTTGTTCTTGCCTCTTGAGGGAAGAAAGGCTTTGAATTCTGGCACTGCCACGTGCTAGCTGCGTAACCCTGAGCAAATTACACACTGGCTTTTCTTTTTCTTAATCTTCTCAATCGTAAGATGGGAGAAATGAGAGAACCTCCTTTAATCAGCTCCGGATGCTAAAACAAAATACTATAAACTGGGTGGCTTATAAACAACAGAAATGTATTTCTCACAGAACTGGAGGCTGGGAAGTCCAAGGTGCTGGTAGATTCGGTGTCTGATAAAAGCCGGCTTCCTCATTGACCACTGCTGTCTTTTCATTACAGCCTCACATGGCAGAAGGAATGAAGGATTTTTCTGAGGTCTCTTTTATAAGGGCACTAATCTCAGAGCCTTTTGTGACCAAATCACCTCTCAAAGGCCCTAGCTCGTAATACCATCACTTTAAGGACTAGAACTTCAACATATTTATTTTGGGGGGAATATAAACATTTACCCCTTTGCAATCCCTCAAAATTTTGTTGGAAAAGTTAAGTGAGTAAACAAACACAAAGTCCAGGGAAATCCTCGATAATTATTAGCTAGTATGATTAGTGCTGTTTGATGATGATGAATATTACTATTATTATTTTTAGTCCTATGAACATAGTCTGTGAATGGGCAAATTACTGTGGCAAGTTTGAATATTCCCTATTTATGTAGAAAAGCACTATCTATATTTACAATATACAATATTTTTCCGACATAAATACCAAAATATTTTTCAACTTCGTTTTTGGCCTAATTTGTAATATCTTGATCAGTGC